AAATACAACACAGTGAGAGCTATTTGGTGTGCAGCTCAGCTAGGTTTCAATCCAAGAGTGTACCTCTCTTCAGCAAATCCAGGTCTCTTGGATTGGTGGATGAATAAGTTAAAATGCTTAAGAGAACTAGAACAGTTCTTCTTGGCCAAGATTCTAGCCATTCTAAGAAGTGTTTGGGACCACATGAGTGAAGTAATATTCAGCATGGTTTTTAAAACTGACTTGGTGATTGAACGGTTAGGGTCCGGTTACCGAGTCGAACGGCCTGATCCGAACAGTCGGCCCGTTCTGATAAAAAATAAAAAAAAATTAAAAAGCGGTCAAAACCATTCAAATGGTTAATTGGCCGATTCAGCAGTTTGCTGACCAAAATCAACGGTTTTGAGGAAAAATAGAACTGATCAGGTCCCGATTTTTTTGATCTGACCGTCCGGTCCATTCCAATTTTGAAAACCATGATATTCCCGGGGGGATCCAGACCCCCCCTATGCTATTATCAAAAAAGCAGAGAGCTACGCCCCTTGTAAGAATTGTGTTTTGCCTTCTAGGCTGAGCTTTGGGCAATCATTAGAGACATGAGAAGATTGATGGAGATAGGCATCAGGAAAACAGTCATAATCTCTAGCTTATATCAAAGAACACAGCTGACGAAGATAAGAGGAACCACTGGAAACAACCGCTGGAAACGAGAAGGCTCCTTTGGATCACTTGAAGCATCTTATATCCTTTTTTCTTGATAATGTAATATAATGTATGTAAATAGATATGAAGTATCTAGAACTCACCTTAGCTCATAGGGAAGAACTTCTGGTAAGCATATTTTTTTGGCAAGGCACACCTCACTCAGCTGAAAACTTAAGCTTTTGTATGAGAGTTCTTTTGTATCAGTGATGTTTGCAAAGGATCCTCTCTCTCTCTTTCTCTCTCTATATATATATGCAAAATCAGAACCACTTAAATTTTAAAGATGATCCATGAGCATCTTCTTACTAGTCCATTTAAATTGACATACAAAATAACTCAATCCATCTCAAACTATTACATGAAGCAGATTGGTTAGATCACAAAATTGCCACTCTGTAGGTGATATGTCATACGTATATAGACCTATAAATTGGGTTGGCGGGTTGGGTTTGGTGGCACTTTCAGGGTGATTTTGTGTCGGGACAAGTTTTGGACTGGGCCAGCAAAATTCTAGACCCTGGCCCTAAATGTTTGGGTTAAGGTTGACCCATTGGTCAATTTGGGTCAACAGTACTAAAAAATAGCTGGAATTCCAAAAAATACAGAAAAAGAATATGGAAACGTCAAAATTAAGGAATTAACATTAAAACAAATTGATAATTAAAAAATTCAAAGAGTAAACAATAATGAGTAAAGAATAAATACTAAGGCTGCGTTTGGAAACAATGCAAATATGTAGAGTGTAAAACAGTCCATATAAATTGTAAAGTTGGGTTAGTTTTGCATCAACAAATTTACCTTCTTACCAAACAGACTTTTAGCTGTAATGGTTGCAAACATGAATTCCAATAAAGCATATGCCTTTTTTTTTTTATCAAAAATCCACTTGAATGCAAATTTACTCATTTTTTATTGATGGTACTTCTATATCTTATTGTCAAAGTAAAAATACACTGGAAAATATGTTTTCTATTATTTGTCAATGCATAAATGTAATGTTGCCAAATACAGGCAAAAGTGAACCAGAGTGCAAATTTACCCTGAACCGGGATTTACACTCCATTTTCATCATTTCCAAATACAGCCTAAAGATTAAAGAGTGAAAACTTTTAAAAATATATAAATAGTCCCAATGGCAATCATGTAATCAGGTAGGTTGACCAGTGAACCAACCTGACATAACCAAATGTTTTCTGATTCGCTTTAGCATTGATGTAGAATCGACCCCCACAACCACTGATTCGGGGAAAAAGGAGAGTTATTAATGGTGTGTGGCACCAAGTACCAAACAAAAGGATTTTTGGGGCCAGTTAAGTTTGATTCGTGGGGTTGGGCCAACCTTTTATCAGGCCTATTCGTATATATGATAAATGTTAATTAGATGGCTCAACCTATGAAGGAATAAAGTCTCACTCTGGTTGTGGTAGAAACCTGCATGAGATCAATTCTCAAATGTAAGGCTGTATTTGGCTGCAATGCAAATTAAAGTTACTTCTACCGAGTGTAAATTTACTAGAATAAAGTGTGACTTTGATGTATATTCATGTATGAGAGTGCAAATAGGCAGTGTAAAAAGTAAATTAAGAAGTATAATGGTATGGTCCCAAGAGAATGGAAGTAAATGGAGGATTTGTTGTTTGTCAACGATGTGGGAAGATGATATGATCTCCACTTCATATGAGAGAGAGTTGAGGTAGAAAGAAGATGATGCAAATTTTGTATCAGATAGGGATGTAAATCATAATTATAAATAATAGATGCAAAACTGAACTGGGTGCGAAATTTATTTCTTTGGATGCATGTCTTGAAAACCCTCTCCTGGTCCTCCATTAAGAATATCAAAAAATAAACTGTATTGTGCATTTTTGTCTTTATTTATTGAGTTTTTTTTTTTTTATATAAAATTTGCACAACCCTGTCTCTATCTACCTTCACCACCTTTAGACAAAATGGACCACATTATTTCTCAACAACCAACCTTTTACTCTCATTTCTTTCTCATATCACTGTTTACTTTCATTTTATCTCATATAAAATGGGAATCGCACAACTTTACTTCCCCTTTTGCTCATTACAAATTAATATTTTAAAAATCAATATAGAAATGGAACCACTTTTCCATAATGCTGGTGAATCAGCTGTTCAACCAAATGGGTAAAATGCATCAATTTAAGACTATAAATAAAATAAAATAAAATAAAAATGAATATAATATATAAATTTATAAATAATTATATGAAATATATAAAATTTGAACATGTTTCTAATAATATATATTCATCACATTAAACCAAAAAAAGTATAATCGATGAGGACTGTCTATTGAATAATAACACGAGAAAAAATAAAAAAAAAGTAAAATCATAACCAATGACCTGACTGTGTCAAATGATTCAATGATTCAACCAGCTTTGTCACGGGTTTGTTGACTAAACCAATGTTTTTTTTGGCAACAATATGATTCAAGCTTAAATGGGCCCAAACATATGGTCAAACGGTGGATTGAATGGTTTGACCGCCTGGTTAACCACAAATACAAATCCATTATTCCAAACAAACTTTGCAAAAATCAAACCTGAACAATTTTTGCATACAAACCTTGTAAATTAAGGCTAAGAGTACAAATACAAATATGTAGAGTGCAAAGCTTTGTATTTTATATTATTTTGTATGTATTTACATTGTATATATTTGTATTTGTACTCCTTTCAAACTGAGCCTAAGATGAAATTACACTAACAAATGGCTGCATTTTTTTATTTTATTTTTTGTTTTTTAAAAATAATCGTTGCATGACTTTATTCAATGTATATTTCAATAAAAATGAACAATGGAATATCCATCGAACATTTAAAGTCTGTTTGATTGCTGAGAAATATATGAGAAAAACTTAATATTCCCGAATAATTCCATTTTCTTGTATTTGTTTCATAGAATACAGTGACATATAGTGCAAGATTGATTATATTGCCCATAAAACTAAGGGGTCCGGATGTCCTGTTTACACAAACTCTGTCCACATCTACCCACATAACATCACAGTCATACATGAAAAACATCTCATCCTCCTACATAATGTTATGCAGAGGAGATATTTCCAATTCACGGGAGTAGTATATTGTAGGTAGAGGTAGGCAGAGTTCTTGTGGGTGGATGATCCGGAGTCAAAACTAAGGCCCACGTGGTACACACTCGACACTAAACCTGTTCATGCACCTGACTGAGCCGGGCTTTTCCTATTTTGGCTGTATTTGATTTGAAGGAAAAGGTAGGAAAATCCAATAAGATACATTTGATGAACATCTGGAAAGCCGAAATTTAACAACATGAAACTACAAAATAGCATTAGCGGCTTTTCAGCTCCTCCAAAATACAGAAGCACTCACAAACGGGACCTTAATAAAAGATGTGGTACTTCATTCTCGATATAAAACTCTATATGGGCCCATGGGCCTCACATACTCAAACTTTCGGCAGCCGTGGTCGGCTATGAAGCAAATACAAGGATTAAAATGGCAGGAGCTTAGCAAGCAAGGGCCCACACAAAGGAAAAAGCCCAAAATAATCCTCGTTATAAATCATCATCACGATTTCACGATCATAAAATAAAAAAGATAATAAAATAAAGTTGCCACCCAACTTTCGGTAGCCTTGTCCACGTGGACATCCATTTTTCAAGAGTTCAGATCTGCCGTTAACTGGACAAACAAAACTGCAGGCTGCAAAGCTGAACTGAAGTTGCAGAAATGTCCAGTAGTGTTCGCATCAGCGCCTCACAATCGGGCGCTCCACAGGCTCCCCACTCAATCCAGAAACGCCATTTGTCCTCCCTTAAATTATGTTTGGTTTGAAAAAAAGTAGAAAAAGAAAAGAAAAGACAGATAAATTTATACAAAATTTGTAAAGGCTTTCCTAATTTTTTCTTCTTTTTTATGCATTTTCTTTCAAACCAAACATAACCATAATTAACCATAATGAGTGCAGACTGCGGAGCTGATGGAACGGGCGTTAGTTCTCCAATGTAAAGCTTCCGTTAGTTCCCAAACTCTCCCTGTGGGGCGCCCGGTAGTGGGGAGCTGATGCGAACTCTGTCCAGTAAAAAAGAAAATAGGAAATATCGGAAAAGGAATAGAAAAAAAGATAGGAACTTCATTAGAAAGGACAGAGGTCAGATGGACGGTTAATGGGCCCCACACGTTGCGACCGAGACAAGAGAAATCCGTATAATATACGGAAGCGATACGAAGGCACTTGTATTTCAAAGTAGTAAAATTTTAATATAATATATTCCTTTCGTAATTTACAGCGTGAGCGCAGTCAAGCTCTCCTTTTTAAAAAGTAGGGAGGGCGATGGCTATGTTGGATCTTCCTCGTTCAGCAGCTGGGCTCCTTCTCCCTTGCAATCGATCGTCGTCCCTTCGCAGATTTTGGAGGTCCACGTCCATCTGAGATTTCAATTTGTTTCATTAATTCGTCTGCTTCGCCTCCTCTAGATATTAATCAATATAAATCGATGGGTACGTCTCCAACATCTCCTTTGATCCTGTTTTTTTTGCACCCCTTTCTGTTTCTGCTTTTATGTCACACAATTTCTCTTAAATTTTGATGATTTTCCATGCTCAAATTGATTTGCATGTCAAATTCTTGTGTGTTTTAGGGGACTTGTGATCTGGGTTATTTGTTCGTACTGTTTAATGGGTCTTCACCTTTTATATTGCATTTACGTCGTTTGTTGTTCTGTTAACGAGGTGGCAATAAAGATTCTGGATTTTTAGTGTAGTGTGGGTTGTTGAAACTTGAATTGGTGTTGGCATTAATTTCTACATAAAAATCGAAACTTTATCGTTCTATCAATTCTCAGATGAGAAGATTTCCAAGGAATCTAAGAGAAGACATTAAATACGAGTCATTTCCTGTTTTATGGTTGTATTTAGGTAGTGAAGTGGGTTAACGTAGCGGCCTTTTTGGTCACCTTTGTGGTATTTCGTCATAAGGTTGCGAAGTTTGAACTAATTTTTAAAGATCAAGAGAAAGTTGGAGAAATTTGCTGTACTCCGTAAATGTGAGGGTTTGGTGAAGATTGGAATTTTACTTGATTTAGCCTTCGGTATGAAGGATTGCAGGAGAGGAAGATTAAAATGCGTGATTGCTTTTGTTGTATTAATGGATTCCCACGTATATTATGCAATAGTAAAAGACTGGTTGGAGATCATCTAAATGCTTCTCTTATCTAATGCACCCCATATGAACGATTAGGCTATTACCCATTAATTGGAAGCATCATAGAGGTGGATTTGGTAATTCTGAAGAAGGGTTTATCACAAAGGAATTTTATACCCCTTGAGATGTATATCTATTTATTGTGAAATATGTATTCCAAATTGCACCTTCTACTTCGCACAGGGTTTTATTGATCTACCATTATCTTATTAGATCTAGAAAACTAACTATCATTATCTTATTAGATCTAGAAAACTAATAGGCCATGCATTATGTTTCTCACTGTAAAGATTGTTTCTTTTCCCAGGAAAAGCTGGTGAATGTTGCTCGACCCAGTTAATTGATGGAGATGGTACTTTTAATATCTCTGGACTTGACAATTTCACAAAGGAGGTGAACTTGCGTGAATGTGGACTCTCCTATGCTGTGGTGTCCATCATGGGTCCACAAAGTAGTGGTATGCATTTGAATTTTCCACTTTTTCCTTTATGTCATTCGACATACTTGTACAACTGCACCAAAAGACATTGGTTAATAATCATTGGAGTAACACATAAATACATGATATACATCATTTGGTTTGGGTTGAGTTGGTTGCTTAAGCCCATAATCCAACTTTGAATATGATTATGATTCTCAACCCCAAGTCTGCTTGAATAAAGACCAGTTGGCCTAATCTAGAGGTCAATTTTTGGATTAGTTGGCCTCAGCCAAGTCCAGAATGAGTTAAACTTGTAATATGGTTGAAAAGGTATGATAACAGTATATGGCAAGGATTAATCCATTGTGGAGACAATATCTTTCATCCTCAGCATTTTTTGAAGATGCCAACTTGCCTAATAAACTTTTGTGCTTATTCATGCCATACACCTGGGTTCCAGAAACCATAGTCACCTGATAACTATTGACACACTCTACTTGTCAGCAGTTATTATTTTTGACAGACTGTTTTTAGTGATTTGTTAAGTTCTGCTTTATAAAAGTTCCAATGTTCCTCATTAACATAAGAACACACATGCGTTACTACATCCATCACTTTGCATGAAGTTTATTAGGAATGACCCTCATCTTTTCATCTGTTATTTTTTGATACATCTTTTCCTCTATGATTTATCAGGGAAGAGTACACTTTTGAATAATCTATTTGGTACCAACTTTAGAGAGATGGATGCTTTTAGGGGAAGGTCAGTCTTCAGATATTATTTTGGATTTTTGCTAATTGATCTATGTGGTTAGTGTACCAATATTAGGACAGTGACATAACATTCTTCATTTTGCAGGTCTCAAACTACCAAAGGCATTTGGTTGGCAAGATGTGCTGATATTGAACCTTGTACACTTGTCATGGATTTGGAGGGTACTGATGGAAGAGAAAGAGGAGAGGTATCAAAGCTTTCCTTAATTCTTAGTTTTCTCCATTTCTAAATTTTATTATGCATTAGTTACATAATTTTTATTCTCATTTCATGTTGGTGCATTATTGATTATATCTTATCTAGGGCATCGATACTTATTGAAATTTTTAGGAATCCTTTACATTTAGTACTCAATTTAAAGAATACTGATACCTGAAGAAGTAGAATATAACTTGTATTATATTGCAAGAATTTGTAAGCACAATAATGCATTGTTCATGTACAACATGTTGCTTTAAATGGAAAGAGTCAAAATTAAAAAAAAAAAAGAAAAAGAACCATTATGCATATTTTATTTCTTTCTATTGTGACCTTTGGTCCTTTGTCTTTTCTACTCACACAAACCATGTTAGTGGGAAAAACCTATACTGCATCAAGATTTTTTTTTGATTATTTACACTGTCAAGTTTCAATGATATGGTAAACTAAGGTACATCTCAGATCCTAGTGATACTTGATCTATGCTCCTTATTTTCCTTGAAATTCTAGAACTGGTAACAGGGGCCAGGTTTAGTATGCATTATCTCTCTAGGCTTTAGTGATTTGATCTAAAAATAAAATAAAATACCTGACTTTTTATTGGAGAGGTTGATGAAGTCAAATTGGACTTTCTATTAGGACCCAAGTTATTTCTTTTCTTTGAAAAACTGAATTAATGTATCAATAGTTCAATACTTCCTAGTCCTTTATGTAATGCTCTTTTTATTTTGCTGTTATTTTTCAGGATGATACTGCATTTGAAAAGCAGAGCTCTCTTTTTGCTCTTGCGGTTTCAGACATTGTTCTCATAAATATGTAAGCTTATTGGTTTAGCACTAGATGCTGTAATCTTGAGCACAATGCCTTTCTGTAATTTCCATAGGTTCTGACATAATTTTCATGCTAGGTGGTGTCACGATATTGGCCGTGAGCAGGCTGCAAATAAGCCTCTTCTGAAGACTGTATTCCAGGTCTTGTTTATATACATGCTGTGTTCAAGCAGTTATTCCAAATATGGAAGGCTTCGATTGATTGATATAATTTCTATTATTTTATGATTATATGTCAATGACAGGTTATGATGCGGTTGTTCAGTCCACGTAAAACAACGTTGTTATTTGTTATCCGTGACAAGACTAGGGTTTGTTTTCCCAGCTTGTAACCTGTATCATTTTAGAGAGTTGGAAGCTTTAGATAGTTTTTTTCCTTTTCTTTTGAATATTGATTTCTAATTGCTTTATCCATTCCTATCCTATCCCTTCTTGATACAGACACCATTGGAAAGTTTGGAACCAATTCTGAGGGAAGATATACAGAAGGTACAGAATCTGGTTTTTCTTTCTGCATTTAGCAGTTGTAGTAGACTTGATTCATAACTAATACCTTGTGTACAGATATGGGACTCTGTTCCTAAACCACAAGCCCACAAAGAAACACCACTCAGTGAATTTTTTAATGTAAGATTCCATCGTCTTGCTCGCATAATCTTAGCTGTGTCTTTTTCTTGTCTTACTCGGAAATGCTTATTAATTTGGCATCATGCTTGGATGCTCCATTGCTGTTTAAAATTCTCAGGTTGAAGTTGTGGCTCTATCTAGTTATGAAGAAAAGGAAGAGCAATTCAAAGAGCAGGTATATTATATATAGTGCGGGGAGAAATATGTCAGAACTACATTCAGTGAATTTTTCTCTGAACTTGTGCTCCATTTTATTATTTTATGTCATGGATCTTGGTTGAGCTTTTTATCCATATTCTGTAATATAGAGGTTTCACTTGTACACTAATGTCCTTTTGCAATGAAAAGAAATGTACATTTAAATTTTTTTTTTTTTTGGTTAATGAAGGTTGCTAGTTTGAGGCAGCGGTTCTTCCATTCTATAGCCCCTGGTGGACTTGCTGGAGATAGACGGGGTGTAGTCCCTGCTTCAGGTTTTTCTTTTAGTGCACAACAGATCTGGAAAATTATTAAGGAGAACAAGGACCTCGACCTTCCTGCGCACAAGGTCATTTGAGTGAATGATAGCTATTGTAGAAGTTGCTAAGAAAAGGTTCAGATTGTATTGACTTACATGTTGTTCCATTGTCATTTCACTTGTAGGTTATGGTTGCTACCGTACGTTGTGAAGAGATTGCCAATGAGAAGTTTGCTTGTTTAACTACAAATGAGGTATCTATTCCTCATTATCTAAGGTTTCGTTTTGAATGTATTCTTAATATAAGCATTTGTGATATAACCTTTCTTTTTCTTTTCTTTTTTTTTTTTTGAATTTAACACAGGATTGGTGTCAGCTGGAGGAGGCTGTACAGTCTGGTTCAGTTATGGGCTTTGGGAAGAAGCTCAGTTTAATTGTAGACACATGTCTAGCAGAGTTAGTACTTTTCCTGTTTTAATTCTTCATATGACTTTGTGATACATAATCTTGGTTATTGTGGCCTGTAAGCATTTGGCAAATATTTGTTTAGCCACATAGCCACAGAAGTACACATACAAGTGAATGCAAAGGCCCTGCCACATTGCATAGGTGTAGTTCCTTGTAAATTTTTTCCTGTCATATTATTATTTTTTCTTTTTTAAGAGGGTAATGAATCATATATATTTGAATATGGGAAATGAAGCACATAAGAGAATGTATAAAGGTATACAAAATATGATCGCGACCTATTCTTGATTGAAAAAAAGGAGCAGGTATAAAACTTTCACCATACAAAAAGACCCTACATCTCTTGGCTAAATTGTTAATTGGTTTTCTAGAAATTTAAATCAAGTGTGTTGGGAAGGATTGGAGATCATCTCTGATCTTATTGAGATAATTGTTTTCTTGGTGAAGAGGCAGTACGATCCCAGAATAGTGAGAGGAGAAGAGAGAAGAGAGAAGTGAGAAAAGATATTGGAGAGAAGAAAAGTCAGCTGGCGGCACTAGCCTTTTTAATATTTATACTAGGGCGATCATTCAGAAATAAAAAAGAAGTGCAATTACAAATGTGCCCTTGCGACACTGAATAAAACTAAGTTATTCAACACTTCCCCTCAAGTTGGGACATAGATGTCAATCATGCCAATTGTGCCGCGAGTGATGCAAGCCTTTTGTAAATATATTTGCAAGTTGCTCCTTAGAACTCACATATGGGGTGCACACTTCCCCATTAACAACTTTCTCTCTAATAAAGTGTTTGTCAACCTCTATATGTTTAGTTCTATCATGAAGAACTGGGTTGGCTGCAATATTGATGGCAGCCTTGTTATCACAATACAAGGACATAGGGCTATCAACAGGAAAACCCAGTTTGCTCAACAAATTCTTTATCCACATAGCTTCAGCCACCCCATGGGACATTGCTCTATACTCAGCTTCAGCACTAGACCTAACCACCACACTTTGTTTCTTGCTTCTCCATGTGACTAGATTTCCTCTCACAAAGGAACAATACCCACTAGTGAACTTTCTGTGATCAACTGATCCAGCCCAATCAGCATCTGTATATACTTCAATCTTCAAATGACCATTCTTCTGGAATAATAAACCAGCTCCTGGAAACTTCTTTAGATATCTGAGGATTCTTTCTGCTGCCTCTAAGTGTGTGGTCTTAGGAGCATGCATGAACTGACTAAGAACACCCACTACATAAGCAATGTCTGGCCTGGTCATGGACAAATACATGAGCCTCCCCACAAGTCTTTGGAATTGTTTTACATCTTTGACAACTTCACCATAACAGTCACCCAGTATATGATTTGGATCAATGGGAGAGTCAACTAGCTTAACCCCTAATTTTCCTGAATCCTGTAACAGATCTAGGATGTATTTCCTTTAAGAAATGAAGATCCCCTTTTGTGAGCGGGCCACTTCAATTCCAAGGAAATACCGAAGGGGACCTAGATCCTTCACCTCAAATTGAGTGGCTAAGAAATCCTTTAGCCTCTGAATTTCAACCTTCCAGTTACCTGTGATCACTATGTCATCAACGTACACTATCAAGGCTGCAATCTTTCCTTTCCCTTTTTTCACAAATAGAGTATGGTTAGCCTAACACTGTTTGCAGCCAATCTGCTATATAGCCTGATGAAATTTGCTGAACCAGGCTCTCAGTGATTGTTTTAGACCATACAAAAACTTCTTTAGCCTCCACATCTTCTGCTCTTTGCCTAGGGCACTAAAGCCAGGAGGTTGTACCATGTACACCTTTTCCTCAAGGTTTGCATTCAGGAAGGCATTTTTAATGTCTAGCTGATGAAGATCCAAATCAAGATTTGCTGCGAGGGAGAAAAGGACTCTAATGGAGTTCATATTGGCTACTGGAGCAAAAGTCTCTACATAATCTATACCATATACCTGGGTAAACCCTTTTGCCACCAACCTAGCCTTGTACCTTTCTATTGTGCCGTTAGCCTTGTGCTTCACTGTGAATGCCCACTTGCACCCTACCGGTTCCTTACCCTCAGGAAGATCCATTAACTCCCACACACCATTTTTATGTAGGGCATTTATCTCTTCTTTCATTGCATCTGTCCATTTAGGTACTAAGAGAGCTTCTGCTACATTTTTAGGGATATGGACACTGTCAATGGAAGAAATGAAGCACAAAAAGAGGGTGAGATGTTCTCATAGGAAACAAAATGGGAAATAGGATATTGGTGGTGCAAGACCTAACTCCCTTCCTTTTTGCAATGGGGATGTCTAGGTCATCAACAGATGAAGTAATCAATAGCAAGAGGATCAGAAACATCAACAAGAATGATAGTACCTGACTAGATATGGTTTGTCCCCGATGAATCTGATGATGTTGGCGGTACAGTTTCAAGTTGCTCCACAACTCTTGAATTTAGTTGGCCTTTGTGAAGAGGATCAGAAACATCAACAGGAATGATAGTACTTGGTTGGATATGAATTTTCCCCGGTGAATTTGATGATGTTGGCGGTACAGTTTCAAGTTGCTCCACAACTCTTCAATTTGATGATGTTGGCGGTTCAGACAGAAGGGGGAGAACCTGATCTGGTTTCTCCTCCACCTTACTATCCCCTTGAGGAGAAACCGGGAAAGAATGGTCACTTTCAAAGAAAGACACATCTATAGAGACATAGTACTTCTTGGAAACGGGGTCAAAGCATCAATAACCTTTTTGGGAAGAAGGATAACCCAAGAATACACAGGGAATGGTACGAGGATCAAGTTTACCACGAGTAGGAGAGTTCCTGGACGAAACAGTGACAACCAAACATTGGCTCAACATTCTTCAAATTCATGATACACACCTGAGAGGAAATGAGTAAAAAAGGATTTCCAACCCTTTCTTTTCTTTTAAGGCAGGTTGCATGCATTAATCTTCCTGTAAACAGTTTCTGATGTGAAGAAGCAGACCCAGGGTGGAAAATTAGGTAAAAACATTTCTTTTTTGACAACATATGAGCAATGGAACCAGTGGTTAGCATCTCAACAGAATATTTAGTGGTGAATGGTCCTGATGGGTGCTGACACCAAACTCTTGTGTTGATTGTGAAAGGACATGCACAAAACTTCTTGAGAGTGTGGAGAAAGGCTGCTTCCTCTATTTGTGTGTTCTTAAGGGAGTGCTAGAGATTAAAGTTCCAAGAAAGACCATGGTTCTTATTGGAGAGAACTGGAAAAGACTCCTTCCTTGGCCTTTTTTTCCCCCCTGAAAGGGAAGACTTGGCAAATGAAATTTGGAGAAGATGAGGCAATCCCACCAAATGTTGGTGATTCTTTGCTTATCACCCATGCCTAAGCAAAAAAAAAGATATGCTTTAAGTATACCCTTCCAAGAACTGCAAAGAGATAATTGGTGCATGGTGAGGTTGCTGTCCCACTTTTTTAGGTTATGCTATAATTGCTCGTGACTTGTACAAGGTATAATTGTCTCATGGACATCTCCATACTCCAAAACCATGCACAGAAATGCTATTTCTTTTCAAGGAAATACATCACAAACCCAATTTTCCATCTTTCTTTGGCTTGTAGACAACCTACTTAATGAGATGATATGTATTCTGATCTCCGTTGAAAATTCCTTCGCATCTATTCTATCTGATCCCTCATGATAGCTAGTATGCATAAAACCTAGAGAAAGTAAACTGACATATAGGTAAATGTGGCTACGATGGATGTGTCTTCCAGTTATGAAGATATTCTTTCTTGTCTAAGTTGCTTGTCTTGTCTTGTCTAAGTTCCCATAAAAAAATCTTCCATTTACCAGGTTTCAAAAAACAACCTGACTTTAAACTTTCCACCAATGGCATCCCCATGTACCTAATTGGCTAGTCCTCCATTCTATAGCCCCACCAAAATGCTTCTGATTCACTCTCTTTCCTCGTCATCCAAGTGAATGCCCATAAAACAGCTTTTTGCCAGATTGATGTTTTTCTCCACAACTACTTTGAAGCATCCAATGGTATTCCTTGCATTCTGTATGCATTCCCTTCTCACTTCCAAGAAATAGTTGGTGTTTCATCAGCAAATTGTAAGTGTGAGATGTGCAATCTAACCCTCCCCACCTGAAACTGCTGTTTGGACCATGGATTTTGGCTTCAATCACAAGGTAGCTGAGGATGTTGAGCACCCAACAAAGCTATGCTTGCATATTTCTGTTCATTAACATAGAAGGCAGATTGAGAAATCATTGGTATAAGCAAGGGAGTTTGGGTGTTAATTCTTCCGTCTCTTATATTTGGAGTCATAAAACCATTGGACTCACATCTAGTTAAATCATTTCCATTGTGTTTGATCCTTGATATTTCTAGTTCACATAAGTCAGGCTTTCCGCCCTTGTCATGATTTTTCTTCATGGCATGATGTAGGCCTATGTTACCTGATCAAATCTAGAACTGTAACAGCTTCCTGTTTTTATCTATATTACATAGATTTTGATATCCAAAGAAATTTTCATTGTTTTACATGTTTTGAATGGTCACGAAAAAAAAAATCCAGAACAAGTTATATTGACATCTATAAGTCTACAACTGTTAGATTGATGATTTCATTCTTTTATTTGTAGGTATGATGCAGAAGCTATTTATTTTGATGAAGGTGTCAGGACAGCAAAGAGGAATCAGTTGGAAGCTAAAGTTCTGCAGGTAATTCTTATATACTTTCTGCTCTTCTAGAACTCTTCTACATTTTATTTGGAAATAAGTATATCATTTTTTTTTTCATTGGAAATCAAAAAAAAGAAAAAGAATTGCAGAATTAAGAGACTTAAGTTACAGATTAAAAAGATGATAGTATTATCATCGAGAACGATAAAGTTGGTGTCCCTCAAGTCTAGGTTTATATGGTCCTAGAATTTGTTAGTACATCATGAGGTTTCTTCTATTTCTTTGTTGATTTCAATTTCTAATTTGAAAATTCTACTCCAAGTTTTAGTATGAATAAATGAACGTTGGTGATCTATTATCTACTTAGGTACAGAGTTCCTTGGGAGCAAGAAAGTGTCATCCTTTGTTTTCTTCTCATTTTTGCTTTGTGCTGATCTTTTTCTAGCTGGTCCAACCCGCCTATCAATCCATGTTGAGTCATGTACGGTCAAGGACCCTAGATAATTTCAAGGAAGCATTTAGCAAGGCTCTGAATGAAGGGGAAGGATTTGCTCTTGCTGCATGTCATTGTACTAAAATTTCCATGACACAATTTGACGAGGGATGTGCAGGTACACTAATCATGTCTGAAATTTCATTTCAATTTCCCCTTCTCTCTTGTAGTTTGTTTTTTGCTTTTTTTTTTTTTTATCTTTTTCCTACTAAAATAGCAACTTTTCTTTAAGTAAAACCTACTCGTCCTTTATATTAAACACATGATGTGTGAATACAACATGATAGTTAACTTTGTCATTAGAAAAATAAAAATTGATCTGACTGAAAGCCACCTGACATGAGTCAATTCTTGCTAAAAAAGAAGGTCGATTATGATAAATAATTATTTTTTTTTCTATCATCAACATTATGTTATCTTCCATATTCTTAGCTATGAATACAGCCTTCATAAAGTGAAGGAAGGTCAATAGCACGCACATTCATGCAATGTATAATTGAAAAAAAAATGTTCATCTGATGTAGGTTGTCCATGTCAATTGAATTACATAATAACAGAACTTCCCCAAAGCTACCATAGGATAAAATTTTACCAAAACTATTTTTCCAAGTTATGACTGGAAGGGAAGTCTATAGGCTGTAAAGCATGTGATGAAACTGATCACAATGTTGGAGGATAAAAGATATGAATTTTCATTTCGTTAAGGAAATAAAACATTTGCTGCAATGCAAAACCGTTGCTAGAAACAAGGAAGAAGACAAGAAGTTTACCAAGATCCATTCAAATGTACCCCTCCCAAAAAAACAGGAAGAAAATCTTACATGGTCTTGCAATATCTACATATACTGAATTACTGATGCTTATTACTGTTACAGATGCAGCAATTCAACAAGCAAACTGGGACCCATCCAAAGTTCGGGATAAGCTTCAGCGTGATATAGATGCACATGTCACATCAGTCCGTGCTGACAAACTGGCTGAACTTACTGCCCTATATGAGGTATGAAGACAGGGTTAGTTCTCCTAAGATAGGCAATAGGTCCTATGTTAGAGTCTTCTTTTCTTTGATGACCAAGATATTGCATTAAAAACAAAGTTAGAAGGGAAAAGACTATAGGTCAAAATATATGAATCAGAAATGATTCTCAATAAGTGACCACTGGTTCTCACGTTAGGTTTTTCAAGTTTAGATGCTTATGGTGCTGGAGTTGTATTCTTGTCAAAAAATGTCATATCAATTCTTTTTTATGCCTGTAGAAAAAACTGAGTGTAGCATTAGCAGAACCTGTGGAAGCTCTTCTAGATGCAGCTAGTAATGATACCTGGCCAACAATAAGGAAACTTCTTCAGCGTGAGACCAAGGCAGCTGTATCTGGGCTCTCTGGTGCACTTTCTGGTTTTGACATGGATGAAGAAACAGTAAATAAAATGCTTGCAAGCCTAGAGGATTATGCAAGTGGTGTTGTTGAATCAAAAGCAAGAGAAGAAGCCGGAAGAGTCCTGATCCGTATGAAGGACAGGTAGATATTCTTTGCACTTTTGAGTGGGCTGAACTATGATTGAATTTATTCCCTGACAATGGCTATACAAAAATTCTTCACAGGTTTTCAACACTATTCAGTCGTGACTCTGACTCAATGCCGAGGGTTTGGACTGGGAAAGAGGACATCAGAGCAATTACAAAAGCTGCTCGCTCTGCGGTATGGGCAACTCATTACATCAATTATTTAATCTTCTGTTTTATGTTTTAAGTGGCATTTCAATCTCTAACATAACCTTTATTTCCCTTTCAGTCCTTGAAGTTACTCTCTGTTATGGCTGCAGTTCGTTTGGATGACAATGTAGATAACATTGAGAATACTCTATCACTTGCTCTAGTGGATGCCAATAATAATGGTGCTACTAGTAAGAGCATCACATCATTTGATCCACTGGCCTCTAGCACTTGGGAAGAGGTAGCTATATTCTAGCTGCTGAACTCGTTCTTGATGTGTTTCAGGTCCATGATTGTATTCTTAAACCTTCTATTGGCTGTTGACCAGGTTGCATGTGGTCTATGTTTAGGTTCCAAGAAAATACAAGAAACTTAAAGAAAATTAAATAAAGATAATAAAAGAACCTTTATTTTCTCAAACATGTTTTGTTCACAAAAGAAATTGGCATTTAGTTAGCTAATCCACCAATTTTACATTTTCTTTCTAACATTCTTCTGTTTTCAGGTAGATTTTTTCAAAGGAAAATATAGCTATAGAAACCTTTTAGAATCTAGAAAATTCTATAATGAGTACATATGCCTAGTTTTTCATGCTAAGCAATCTTCCCACCCCCACCAAAAAAAAGGAAAAAATAAAAAATCAATGTTTGCATGTGCATATCTATCTGTGTAATATGAAAATCTAATGTGTTGTTGATTGTCATGGATGGTCCAATTGAAATACATGGGGCAGCAGGGAGTTCAAAATAAATAATTTTTTGGAGGCCTCTGTTTTCTGGTCCAGTTGGATTGTAATATTTTACGGTGAGTGTCATGCTAGCCAAGTCCTCTGTAGCAGTAGCACATCAACCCATATAAAGGACTTCACTTTTGACCTTAGTCTGTTGGCATGAGTGCCAAGTATCAAGGTGTTTATAGGTGTCAAGCACGTCGACCCATAGAAATCGTGCCATGGGTATAAACTGACAATAAATATTAAGTTACAGAAATGTCTGAAATATTCTAAAAGCATATAAGTTAAAGAAAATTATAGAAATCTAAGTGTTATTTCATTGGATGCATGAAGAAAATCATGAGACCTTGTTGAAAAATAGCAGGGGACTTTTTTTTTTCTCCCCAAGAGCCATAGGTACAGAGAGACTACTTCTACAGTCCTAAAGCTTTAAAAACATGTTTAACATATAATCAACTGAAAATAGTATTTTACCTGGGAAACCACATAACAAAATGCTTAAGTGTACATTAGAAAATTTATTTTGATCTTGTGTTAACCAATCTGAGTAGGCGGATGTTGGAGTGGAAATTTTAATAAATTCTCAATTCACTCAATTGAGCGATTGAGTTTTATTCTTTTGGGTAAGGCCTATTCAGGGAATCATATGGATTGTTCCCCTTAATTACATCTCTACAAGAAAGTAGAGAACACCTTTTGATTCTGACTTAGAGAAATGAATGCATAGAACAAAAGAAAAGAATGATAGAGTGCTGCTTAAAAAGAAATCTTCATTTGCATTTCTTTTACATATTTCAAGTGTACAAGAATGGGAAAGAAAAAGAAAAGGAAAAAAAAACACATTCGAGAAACTCCACAACATTACATTTCTCTCTTTCTTTTCTTTTTGATACAAAGAAGATTTCTTTCTTCACAATAAGCTGTAGCCAATCAGACAAAATTCTGATTGTAGACAGCCTTAATCTTCCGGATTTTGTATACGAGAAGGGAACTGTAGTCAGTCAAATTGACTATTTGACTGTAGACAGTTTTTCTTATCCCTCTGTTCTTCATTTTCAGTTGAAGGGAACCATAATCAGCCCTTGGAAATAAGACTGTAGATGGTTTAATCCCTAACCTGTCTTGATAGAGGGACCATAATCAACCAATTAAAAACACCTGGTCATAGATGGTTTCTTTCCCTTTATTTCCTTTCGTAGAAGTAAAACAAAAGAGAGAGAGAAGGATACATAGCAGAAGACACATAGGAAGTATTTACAGAGAGGACTTTCTTTTTACCTACCTGTATTAGTGAGATTTCTTTTTCTCTTACCTGTCTTCCCCAGTTCCCCTAAGAACTTCTCTTTTCTTCTCTCTTTATCTTGGCTTTTCTTAGGAATCTCTAAGAGTGGTATGCTCTGAGACACAGTTTTCTCCGAAGAGGAGCATCTAGTTTCCCCTTAAGGAGCTTAAGTAGGGAGTGGGGTAGTTATGCAACTACCCCCTCCCCCTAGGTGAAGGACACCTGTTCTTCCCACTTAAAGAGAGGGAACTCCCATATGGGACACCTTATTTAGTTTTGGTAATTTAGTTTGCAAACTAGCCAACCCACTTATTTGGGTTATAAATTATTTAAATATTATTTGGATTAAAAAAATCCTCCAACAGCAGATATTGTCAAAATGATATATGCTCCTGTGTTTAAAAGTTATGACCAGAAGTTAACCAGGTGCCGCAAAGAATTCCAAATTCATTTACAGCTGGCCCATTTCTTGATTCTCATTTTGTTTTATCTTCTTTTTTTAAAGAAAATAATGCTTCCTTTGTGTACTATAGCATTGCCTTTCTTACCTATTAAAATAATGCATTCCACAGTTGTGATTGATTTTCAATTTCTTTCCCAGGTTCCATCAAAAAGAACTCTGATTACTCCTGTCCAATGTAAAAATTTGTGGAGGCAATTCAAGGCAGAGACAGAGTACAGTGTCTCTCAGGCCATTAGTGCACAGGTATGCTCTTACACATCATCATTTTAATACAAAAATTTTCTCCTTAACTGTTTTCTCTTGAGTGTTCAATGCTGAGTTGCCAAGACAGCCAGGAAAATGAGCTTTTTCCCATAGTTGCTTACCTTGTCTGGTTATTTAACCATTCAAAGTTAACATTGTTGTGGTTGGTTTCATAAGCATCATTGTGAGGATGACAATATAGAAGGCAAAAACAACTGTGCATGTTTTCCATGAAGTTGAAAAATAAACAAAACCTTCATGTTTTGGCTGAGTTGCATATGATATTAGTGTGCAAGGATTTTGAAAAATATAGTTGTACTTATTGGCTGATCGTTCCATAGTGTTTCATTCAGCAAGTTAATTTGTTCATAGCTATAGCCTCAGTTATGAGACCGGCATTGCTAATGGAATAAGAATGCTGGGCAATCAAGAAACAGCACATTCAGAAAAAATGTGTATAGCTATATATATAGCTAAGATATGGATGTTGAGAAGGATGATTGATAACATTAAAAAGGACAGATTCAGAAATAGACATATTAGATAGAACTTGAGAGTAGCTCCAATAAGTGAAAAGATGAAGGGAAGTTGACTGAGGTGGTTTGATCATGTGCATAGAAGATGAAAGACTGCACCAATGAGTAACTTGATTAAAGTAGAAGGCTCTAAAAGAGAAAGGGTAAGAGCAAAGAAAAAATGGCTTGAAGTGGTAATAAATGACCCAAGGACTTTTGACAGAAAATATGGTTCATGATGAAGCATGATGACAGGATAGGATTTGTTTAGCCAACCCCAAATAGTTGGGGTTAAAGTTGAGTTTAGTTGAGCTATGGTTAAATAAATTTTGGCAGTTTGTAGTATGACCCTGCACTCTAGTAATAGTATTAAGCAACATTTTTTACACTATATGTTAAACATGGCAGGGTGTTGGAAACCAATTTTGAGTTATAGTCATATGATGTATGACCGACTAACCCTATATTGTCATGGTTGCTGATTGGATGTTATACAGGAAGCCAACAAACGTAACAACAATTGGTTACCACCTCCATGGGCAATCGTTGCTTTGATTGTTCTGGGATTCAATGAGTTCATGACACTCTTAAGGTATATAATTACTGTCTCTTGAATTGTGCATGCAGCCATACTGAATATTTCTTCTATTGCCTTGTTTCAAGCTAATTTTCATGTAACTCTCTTTCTTCACAGGAATCCTTTATATCTTGGTGTGATTTTTGTTGCTTTTTTACTGGGCAAGGCTCTGTGGGTCCAGCTAGACATTTCGGGCGAATTCCGCAATGGCGCCGTCAGTGTTAAAATTCTTTACTACTTGACCTGTTTTTATTAAAACTAAAATGAAGTTTGAGCTTTTATTTTATTTTCTTGTTCTGCAAGTGTGGCTGATCCATTTGATCTTGGGATCTGTCTGCAGCTTCCTGGACTCCTGTCTTTATCTACAAAGTTCCTTCCTACTGTGATGAACCTTCTCAAAAGGCTAGCGGAGGAGGGCCAAAAGCCAGTGGCACCTGATGCTCAGAGAAACCCTTCCTCAGAATCAAAAAATTTGGGAAATGGTATACATGCCTACAATGATTTAATGTCAAGTGCATCCTCTACTGTAACATCTTCAAAGAATGGTTCAGAGTATTCAAGCACTTTGGAGCAAGACAAAGTGAAATGAACTGGACCAGTTGCCTCACTAGAGACTGGTTGGCTGCATGCAAGAACAGCCTTCTTCCTTTAGATATACCACTACATCACATGGTCTGTGGTAAGGGCCTGGATAAATTATATACATACGCTCCATAAAGGAATTGCACTTGTGATGTCTGAGAGGAGGTTTGAAAGCTTTGCTTTCTTTTTTAGTTGTTTGAAGGCTTCATACTGGGGGCTACGGTTTGGTGAGATCAAAAGCCCCCCAAAATAGTTTTCATATTTTGGATTTTTTCTCCTTTTTTTTTCTGATTGTTGATTATTTTACAAGGATGAGATATAAGTTGCAAGGCCCTTGGTTATGTTCCGGGCATCTACTAAACTTGATGCTTTGACTTCCGTTTTGTGAATTTTGCCAGTAGAGTTTTGTTGTGAAAGTATCCAATAGTAGAATATTATTACAAGATGATACGAGAATGGCAATATATCCTTTTGGCCATTGGATGGATGTTAGTCCGATTATTGTTGTTATTTCAAGTTCATTAATGATTCTCAATCCCCTCTTTACATGCATACAAAGTTGGTATTACAAAAAATTTCAGAATGGTTATTCGAAGAGATGCATTGGGATACACTTGGGAAACTTGTGATCTAAGGTTTGAAGTATTGGAAATGCAGGGTGTCAAAAAGGCAATTGTAAGAGATATATTAGGTTGAAGTAGTAAGAAGTGATATATATATATATATATATATTGCGAAGTAAGAGGATTTGTGTAAGAGATGATACATATTTTAATTTAACAATGGATATGTCATTGAATAGAAATAGGATTTGTGTAGCTTAGCCCATATAGTTGGGATAAGGTGATTATGATGATATTGGGATATGTTTTGGACATGCATAGACAGAAAAATTAGGATAAAGAAGGTTCTAAGTATCGACACAGGCCGATATGTTGGTAGGGTGTATTGGCCTATATACCGGTATATTAGCCTGTATCGGTGTTTTTTTTTAAGTTTTATTTATTATTTTTCAAAAACGGTTCAGAGGGGTCAGTTTAAGTCCTGACTACCCTCTGAACCATGGCCTGATCTGGTACAACCCCTGGAGGGGAATATTGGGAAGCCATTGGCACGATCGGCCGATACGAGCCACTTTGAACCTTAAGATAAACATGGACATGTTAGGAAAACTCAAATTAGTCAAAGGTTACATCAGTGATGGTAAATCTAGGTCCTATATGATTATAAACGAGGTACATACACATGAAAAAAATATATTTTAGTAAGTTTGGACTACTGAGATATATTTGGAAATGTTGAAAATGACGGAATAACTAATGCATGTACATCTTTTTTTTTTGGTAATAGCACCGCATCACACTAATAACTCGCTTCTGAGCCAAGATACGGAATAACTAATGCATGTACATATTTTAGTAAGTTTGGACTGTTTTTGTTTTGTTTTTATTTTTATTTTTTAATTTGGTTCAGAGGGGCTGGTTTAAGGCCAGTCTACCCCCTGAACCACTTGCCGACCCCAAACACCCCCTGTAGGGGTGTATCAGGAAGGCCCCGATATGTGACAAAATTTTGAACCTTATTTTAAGCCACCCCTCCCTCCGGTTAATGTATGCACATCTAATTTCTTAGAAAACCAATTAGTCATTGATAAGATTTAAAATATATGAATTTTAACAATCCATTGTTTCATAACATTTGTTCTTAGACATTTGTTAAGAAGAGAAAATGTAAGTTGCAGCTATACGAATTCAATTCAGAATTCATTGTAGAAGCATGACATGGTGACATATTTGGTGTCTTAACTTAAGACACTTGGGTGCAATTTTCTTTGTTTGTAGCTTTTTAGAACTATAAGACTTATTGAGAAGATAGAGAATTAACCATCATCACCATCCAAGCCTTATCCCAACTACATGGGGTTAGTTATATGAATCCTTTTTTTCACTAAGCAAAAAACATCACAGCTTGACTTAGAAAATGGTACCACTAATATTTAATAAATTAAGGTCATTCAGGTTAAAGACGAAAAGAAGAGATAATTTTCTTGGGTAAAATGGAAAAAGAAACCAGGGGTGAGTGTAGCCTTACTCATGGCACAACCAAAATTGAAAATTTTACAACATATTGACCCGTATTGGTTGATATGTACCATTTTTGTACCTTTTCAAGCATTTTCATAGCTTACCGGCCTATATTGATATTGAATCAGGTCATTTTGGGTCCATACACATCTGATACTACGGGCTGATAAAGGTCACTACAAACCGATTTTTAATATTCTTTCAAACTCTCTTTGGCTCACATTGGAAAGAGTACAAATGCAAATATGTACAGTACAAATACATACAAAATAATACAAAATATATGGTTTGCACTCAACATATTTGAATTTGTACTCCTTCCAAACTGAGCCTAAAGTCAAATTTATTTTACCATTAATTAATTCCTACATTTAAGGTGAGTTCAAATTTGAATAAACTTTCAGAAGTCATAACTATTAATCATTGTACTTATAATTTTTGATATAAAAATTGTAAGCTAGAGTTATGAAGGTTTTGTCATTGGCTTGTAATACCATTACACCATACTTAATTTTTTGTCATAATTGTATGCACTTTTTATTCTTAAATAAACATTTTCTTTCTGGTGGATGTATGATGCTTGCTAATAAATGGTAAAATTATTTATTAAAATTTATATATTAATAGCTATAGACACAAATTATATTGTTTTTCTAAATTAAGGTATATACATATGCATTTTAATCCTTCCATTATTTTTGGTTGGTTATTGATTATGTCTCTATGTCTAATTTTATAAAAATCATTATGTTTTTTTTGTGTAAATAATTAAATAATTTATTTATAATCACATAAAGTTTATATTTATTATTATTAATATATATTTTTTAAGATTTATTTAAATTTTCTAATGTATCTATATCCAAATACATATTAGGTCTCTTAAAATTACCTTTTCCATACAACTTACATATACTTTGAATGGTCATTTTATTTTATAGTTAAACACAGGCCTTAAATCAAGCCACAACTGAAGCACAAATAATGAAAAAGAGGCTCCTTATCGAACTTCGCCAAAATCAAGGAGTGTTCATTACACAAGTCCCAAAATTCTAGACACCTGCTGCAACTCGGTACAAACTAATGTTACTTGATCAATTACCTTTCAATCATTCATTGGTAAAGGGGCACCGGATAATATTTTGATTTAATGCACCGAAACAACGGTAGACACCTAACCCAATTCCGTTAATAACAGCAACCTACATACTGACTGGAATTCTTGAAACACAGGCCTCGGAGCCGTCTCTCAGGCTACAGACAAAAGAATGTGTCGCTGCTCCAACAGAAAACCGTCACTATGAATTGACTGGACAGTAACATATCAAATACAGGTATCATGATGGTAGCTTAAAAATTCTGTCAAGGTAAATGGGTTATGTCTTGCTCCCGTGACTGCGAGTTTGGGCCACCAACACTACCTGTCATCAGGTGGTAGTGTTGGACTTTTGGAACACATGCTGATTTTGTGAAGCTCCCTCAACCTATTAACTGGATCACATAGACCTGAAAATTATACCAAATTTGTTAGTGCAGACAAAGTAATAGACGGGCAAATCTTTACCTAATTATTTTAGCTGATCAAATTGATGGCTCCACAAATTAAACACTAAAGTTGCACATTATTTGGATGGAAACAGATAACTAGCATTCTAGATGAAAATCAAACATTATGGTTTTCAAAAACATTGATCCTTTCTGAGTATTTTTTCCCATGCAAAAACCGTTGTGTTTCTTATTTTAATTCCAAGTGGGAAACAACCTTGAAAATTATCAATTATATTCACAAAAGCTGCAAAGACACGAGTGAAAGTTCAAAAAACCAGTTTCACCTGAACATTTAGGAATGTCCCAAACTGCGATAGAAGTTGGTGTGCATCGAGGATCACAAATTGCTCGATTATCTTCATGATGGACATTCATAGCTAGCATCCAGGAACCAACAGTTACATCCTCATTGCTAAACATTCTCAGACTGGAAACCAGTAGATAAATCTAGTAAATAAACAATTCTAGCAAAAAACGAAAAGAAATTGAAATACCAGTTAAAGACAACATGCATGACATAATTAAGGTACTAAGACATTTTCTATGCTAAATCAAGCATAAGAGTTGGTAATTACATTCATTTTAAGGTAACAAAATCGTTCTTGAGAACAAAAGGAGACAGATTAATGGAATATCAGAATATGCAATAATGCTTATTTAGAAGCTGAATAAAATGTGTGCTTATAAGCTCCATGTCCAAAATCGACATCCAATAAGGATCTGTTATACATGACATGCACGCTTACCCAAAAAGGACATACATGGTTGTCAGAATTAAATGTCCAAATGTTGTATATGCTTTATGTTAACCGCAAAGTAGAATTCTCACAAGTTGAATGGTCCCAAGACTGAGTTCCATGAATAATGTGAGATGAGTGAAATGAATATGGTAGGAATACTTCAAAATCAAGTCTGATCATGCATGGTATCCATTTACTGTCTTAGTGCCAGGCACCCCTACCCTTCCCATACCTACAACCCATAATTCACAGTTCAGATGACCCCACAAGTCCACTAGAAAGGATAGCCTTTTAGGAACAGAGGAAATATGCAAGTAAATTCACCACTGAACCATGAGTAATGGACTTACGGTTTGTTTAGTAAGACCAATTCATTTAGAAAGTAGTATCAATATTTTAAATGAGATAAAAACCGATAATAGCTACTAACCTAAATGTAAGAGTCAATATCAAAGCATAAAGACAACTAAAATCAAAGACAGTTAATGTAAATAAAGAACCTGTTGTTTCTTGTAGTTGCCAGTGATGCTACCACCTCTGCAGACAGAACATATATAGGGCCATAAGCATGCAAGAAATACTCATTTCCAATCAAATGCCCAGATTTCTCAAACCTGAAATTATTTGGTAAAGAAAAAGTCAACTAAAAGATAGCACACACACACACACACACACACACACAGAATTAGATGTTTTATCACAAAAAAATTTTGGAGAAGATCTTCATATATCTACCATTTCATTTTAGGATCAGTAATTACTGGGCCCTTCTTCATGCAGCCAATGTAGGTTCGTGGATGAGTTCTCTCTCTAGCTAGAAGAGTGGCAAGTCGATCTGATAGAGGAAGGAAATTTTATTATTGCATGACGGATGAGTTCCAATGACCAATTTATGGATTACCTAAAAGCATACCTGGGCGCAAATAAATGTCATCATCAGCTTTGACATAATAATCTGCTTCAAAAAGATCAAAGGCTGCTTTAAAAAATGCCAGCCTAAAATGCAGAGACGATAAACGTTACCAAACAAGCAATTGATCTGATAACAATAAATATATGTATGCATGCATGTATATGAGGAAGGGGGGGGGGTGATGTGCAATCTTGAGTCTCACGTTTTATATGGCAGCCTTAGGTATTCCTCTTCAACATCTATAAGCATAAAATCATTGTACTTCTCCACCTCTTTCTCAAGATCCATCATCTTCTTGGTGTCTTTTGATCGTCCGATTACAAAACGAAAAGCTAAACCAGTAGCTTGCTCCAAACTGCAAAGGTGGAGGGAAAGTGAATATACAATATTTCAAGATGAAAATTCACCATAATTGAGAATGCTGCATAAACTTGTATCCATCCAAAAGGAAAGGAAAAATGAAAAACTTGTCACTTATACAGTTCTCCAACATATCTTAATATGAAAAACTTCGTACATATATTAAACCCATCTTGATTCTAGAAAGAGTTGTGCCTTCTGAACCATACAAAGGAGAAAACTGTTATTTGAGAAAATAACAAGTAAAATCAAGTTTTCCTATATTTATCACTTCCCTATTTCATTTCAACCTCTAATGAACCAGAATCCTACATATATATAGCTTTTTTGAAGCCCTTAAGTTGGTTTCATACTTTCATTCATCAAACATCTCAAATGGGTGATTTGTTTTTGGAAGGCCCTTGGGTGATTACAAGTCCTCTATGAGCTGGAAAATACAAACCGGTGGAGTCATGGGCCAAATATTATTACAGTTATGATTTGTTGCTCATTTGGCTAGAGCATGGACAATGGCGTTTGATGTTCTGGGTCCATAGCTAACTAAGAAAAGGTGAAGTCTCCTATGGAGTTCCTGCAATCAGCAAGAAGTGGTAGATTCACCAAGGTGGGATACAGAAAGGAAATTGGCAGTCTTTTGAGCATCACCTTCCAATCCTACCTATGTTTTGTTTGATGGGAATAGAAACGAAGAGGAAACATGGACGGAATTTATAAACTTCTACTACAATGGCAGAGTGATGCAGTCCGAGGTTCTCATGACTGCGATGCAACGAGACCTAATTGCAATGAGAAGAGGAACAGTGGTGACACGATGAAAATCCAAGGCTGTGATGCGATGGGAATGAGACCACCAGTGTTTGGGGAAATCGTAACTCATCGCACCCAGCAACCCCCAGTGTACAAGTCATCGCACCTGTCCACCAACTGCCAGAGTTTGAAGTTGACTCCCAGTACTTGGTAGCAGTTGAACCGATTCACCAGCAGATATCCTGTTGAGCAGTTGCCTGATAGCCAAATTGTGTGTTAGACACCACCAACCACCAATTTCCCCCCTCTAAGCTTCTAATTTTTCTATTTATTTCAACCATCCTTTTGTTTATTATTTTGGTATATGTTTGGGCACCAAAGTTTGTAATCTTTTTCATCTCTCTTGGCATTATATAACCCAAGCTGAGTTTTGTAATAAATCATCTTTGGACATTGAATACAACTTGTGTTTTGCCTTTAAGGTGTTCCTGTTAGCTTCTTCCCTTTTTTTGTTGGACTTGTTCAAGAGCCACAAAGACCCCCCAAACCCTTACTCCCTTCTACATGAGTAGAGGTTAAGGTCATTGCCCTTTACGAGTTGCAAATCCAAGAGGTTAGTGTATTTTGTTGCTTTGATTCACCACTGTTGTAGCGCTACTTGTTGTTGTCGGTTATCTCTTGTGAGACTTACTCCTGTAAGAGACCACTGACTGCACCACGGAGGGAGGGGTGGCAGAGGGGAACCATGGCACCCCGACCCCCCATGTCTTAAAAATCCCCATTGTCTCCATGTAAATCCTACTTGTATTTTAACCCCATCTATGTTTATAAGCTTTTGTTGTTTACTAGATTTTGGCCCCCCTGAGAAAAAAAATCTTGGCTCCACCCTTGCTCTACTACTTGAAGAAAACCTATAACCCTCTACATTCAAATGATGTGCATTGCATTTCTGATCCCTGTAAAGCATAACATACTAACATAGACAAGGACCATAAATGCTGTAAGGTGATTTAAGAAAAATTTTCAGATCTAGAGTTATGGCTGAACAAAGAACAACGTTACATAATGGGCGAGTGAATACAGTAGTAGGACTAAATAGACATTTATAGAGGTAATAAGTATGGTTTTCAAATTAGATCCAACCAATTATTCTAGGAGAGACAGAGACTCAATATGTAAAATTAAATAGCTTGCAAACCTATTTTAATGATACTCAAACATGATTACCGCAACTACACACAGTGGCTTGTTGATCGTGATAATAGTTGAACATTGGCCCCAAACAAATAAAAGGCTCATACATTGAATCCGATCTCAAAAGTTTAGAACAGCAATGTTTGATTAAGATGGGGAAAAGATTACGGTACCGGAGAAGGCCGTCGGGGTCGGAAGGGAACCAAGATGAACGAAGAGCGGCGCGGCGATCGGCGGAGGAGAAGCCGGTTTGGATTCCGACGAAGCCAAGAAGCTTGGGGCGGTCGACAAGACCATCGTTGTCGCCGAGCTTGCGAGAACCGGAGGAACGGCGGAAGGCAGTTCGGAAGGTGTCTTCGGCTCGACCGCAGCGGAAGACGGGGAGTGGTTTGGAGCGAGCCAGAGCGAAGACAGAGAATAGTATTCCGCCGACGCCGATGAAGAAGCAAAAGATGGAGAAAATAATAAGTGCGAGTGGAACGCGGGATGAAGAAGGCTGGGGAGGGATAGAGATAGGATGTTTCTTCCCTTTATCGTCCTTGGAGTACACGGAGGAGGAGGAGGAGGAACGGTGGGTGAATATGGGAAGCAGACTCAGAGAACGTGGCATTTTGGGTAATAATTGGCGACGCTCCTGATTTCAGTTGCTGCAATCAAGTTTCATGGCGTTTACTGGATCTGGTAGCTAGCTGGTAGATTGTAGGTCTGATATTCTCCTCTGCTTCTCATTTTCGACTTCTACGAAGAACGAAGACTAATGACCATGGAGAGAGGAGGGTCCCCACCTCGAGGTGCGAGTGCGACCTGCGACGCCAGAGCGAAGGAATGCAGAGGAGAATTGTCGGGGTCGGGGAACCGGGAAAGGAGGACGGGAGGGAGGGAGGGAGGGAGGGAAGGAAGGAAGGAAGTGTCTCACTGTCCTTTCAACGTATGTTCTAGAATTTAGACATATATATATATATAAGTGGGCTATCCCCCTGGCGAAACCGCCCGCATACGGTCGCAGCAATTCCTTTCGGGTTTTGATCCATCTGAACAGGTTGTTAATTTCCACCGATGACGTGTCCGTGTTTCATTGGGTCAGATGCTACAGGCGGCTACAAAAAAAAAAGAGACGTGGGCCACGTGGCTACTTGAGGTAGATTTCACCGAACTTCACTTGAATATAAGTGCAGTCCAAAAATCCCTTGTTGTTAGGCATTGGCAAATATGTTTGGCGTATACAGGATGGGTGGTTGTGAAGTGGGGCCCTCATAACTTACTACGTGGCATATACACCCACAGATGATCTGATTTATTGTTGGATGGATTCAAGATTCAACATAGGACATTAGGACATGGCTTATATAAAAAGAAATCAGCACGATCTCATCCATTTATCTTGGGTAATTGATACGTTTTAGTATGTTTGATTATTGTGAGGTTCAAATAAATGTGGGGTTGTAGCCAATTTCCTGGTATCGGCTATTTATGAATACAACCATTCATTCTTCTTAACAAAGTTTCAATTTTTATAAGTGATTATCATCGGCAAATAAAATAACAACTTAACTGCCAATTGAGTTAGAGACTCAATCAGTTGCGTGTTAATCAAATCAGTTTTGCATCTTCCATTGACATGTGTTGCATGCAACTATATCAAGTATTCAAGTGCAAAGAAAAATAACTCCTAACCAACCAAATTTGCAACTTTTTCAACTTAATTAATGGGATCAATACGTTGCAATATTTTGAGGCCCCACTTGGGACGACGATGCCTGCCTTAGCCCTTAGGGAGAGCTGCGTTGATTGAGGCCCTACATGAAATTGCTCACAACAATTTCATGTTATAACCCTCTCTTTCAGAGGGTTTCCATGTGAGGCCTCCTAGCTTTAAACACCACAAGTCACTTCCCGAAAGGGCACTATTGCTTTCCAACTAGGTCTGCTATTTTCGATGGCGTTTTTGGACTTGGGCTCATAAGTTTGAACTTAACTTGTATTAAAATTGGGCTTGACTCTAACCCATACACTCGTGTAAAATATATTATGTGTAATAAATATACACATTTTTTTTTGACTGTATGATACAAGAGTTCAACTATCCTGGAGCCCAAACAAAAATCATGTTAGAGTTTTCTTACTTTTCATTGATTCGCGTTTTATTTCATATGTTCTTTCATTTTATTTTTAAGTTGGACCATAAGGCTCAGATTAGTATTGACAGCTGTAAGCCAAAAACATTGTATAGACGTCACCAAGAAAATCCGATATTTGAATTTGATTCGATACCTAACGGATATTGAAAATTGATATCCGAATTCAAATTCGATTCGATTAATTAATTATTTTAGATAATTAATAAATATTTTATTGATATAAAATACATAAATATATAAATTATTTATATAACTTAATTATTATATATAAATTATATAAAATATTTTATATAAGAATTAAATAATCGGTCGAATTCGGATATTTATCGAATCGAATCAGGTCACATCCAAATTTGAATCCGATTAACTATCTGGTAAGAATGGGATATCCAAATTTGACCGATTAGATATTCGAATTATCTGAATTCGATTCGATTATGTCGAATATCAAATTCAAAGTTGAATTTTCGAATATCATTGACACCCCTATGCACAAGTCTAAACCTACTAAAAAATTATCTACTCCCGGTGGAGTAGCATTAGGCTAAAATAGTAAATCACAACCCCTTATGTATTGACATGGAGTTCAAATCAGCCCCCCACAAGACTACGCCCCACAACACATCCCCGTTGTGTATGGGAAACATCTCCAGATGATGACATCATCATTTCTGATACTATCATTGGGAGATATTCCCAATACATGGTGGGGATGTGCTGTGGGACATTGTGGGGCACAGTCATATGGGGGGTTGATTTGATCTCATTGACATGGCCTCGCCTTGAATTTGATGAAATGACATAAAGTGGGGCCACAACAATGCGTGGAAGGCCCTTATTTCATAGCTTTGCCTAGTGCAGCTCCAAAGTGGAGTAGTTGATTTTTCCTTTAGGCTCCGTTTGGTTTGTGGGAAGATTTGTGTGGGATGAGAAAGTGTAAAAATTTACACTTCCATTGTTTGGTTTTATATATGAGAAAATAATGAGAAAAGCACTGTTCGTCATATCCTACCTTCGGATAGTTTGGAAGGGGACTGATTGTTCATCATCTCCTACCTTCGGACTAATAGGTAGCAGTAGACTGAACCCCCATCTCTCTCCATTTCTAAATCTTACTCGCATATTCCTTTCCTTCTCTCTCCATCATTTTCTCCTTTCATTAGTCCTTTGTCGAACGTCTCTGTCAGCAGCGAGGGAAGAAATATACTAGAGTACCATAGCTGTTGGTGAAACAACGAGAGAGAGGCTTGAACTAGCTGCAACAATTCGTTAGTTCTCTATCGAACGTCTTTGCCGCTACAACTAGCTGCAATAGCGAGAGAGAGGCTTGAAGTGCGGTCTGGGAAATCCGAGCTCACCACCCTCCGTTGGACTCTATGTTTGTTGCCAGGTTGAAGACAATCCCTCTTTCTCTCTCTAATCGTCTCTTCTCTTGCCTGAACTAAGAGACCCTAGCCTCTACCTAAGAGTCTTTCTCTGCTCCCAGCACAACCTTTCAAAGGGAAACCACCGGAGCCCTCCCCTTCTTATGCTCTCTCTCTAGACTTTCTCCCTTTCTATCTCAATCTCTTTCTCTCTCTCTCTCAGACTTTCTCCCTCTCTTTCTCAGTTCTCTCTCCTCAATTTGATGGTAACAATGCTTTCTCAACTTTTTCCACCGGGGTCGCATGGTTTTGGTGCGACCCCAAATTCACAATTTTGGGATCTGACATCCCACATTTTTCTCATCCCATCCCTCTATTTCCCTCAAAACAAATGAGAGAAAAAGAAATATTTTTGAAATATTCTTTTTTTCTCATTCCCATCCCACAAACCAAACGAAGCATTAGAAACCCAACCTAAGATTTATTGGTATTGCCTGAGCTGGACTTAAAAAGTTGGGTTGGGCCCTAGCCCACTTGTATATTTTAGGCTTGGGGTTAAGTTGGTCGTAAACCTACACCACCTGCCCAAGTTGTACAATCTGACTCTACACTTGATGGATCTATTAGTTCAAGCTTAAATTTGTAGCTTGTACAACTACAAAGAGTGAAGACTATCCACCTAGTGTAGTCATTTTAAAGCTTATCATTAAAGATATTCCTTAATGCCTTCCTCATCTTTTCTCAATGATGGGAGCACCGAGCACCTAAATGCTGAAGCCGGATTTCCTGCTCACCTCTTCCTCCTCTCCTCTCTACTAACCCACTTAAATCAGGCCACTTGTCCCTATCCATATTTCAATACATTTAACCTGTCCAACCTCCCAACAAAGGTCCAACAGAGGTTAACCCTCCATTAATTATTATTATTATTTTTAAATTAAATTATTTTTAATGCTTTAATCTTTTGGGAAAATTGATTCCTACTTTTTAGTTACCCACGACACAAGACATTCTTCTTCCTCATTGGAAACCGGTATACCAGATCCGGCGAATAAAGCTTAACAGGGGCCCCATTGTGAAAACAATCACCATCTATAGAGTTGTTGACTCTGTTGTCGTGAATATAATTGCTGCTATAAAGTTGTTGGCTCTATTGCCGTGAAAATTTCCGTTGTGGAAACCGAGCTCCATTCCATTGTGAAAATAGTCGCTGTATCCAGAGATGTTGACTCTGTTGCCGTGAAAACAAAGCCTCTACCCCATCTTGAAAACAATCACCATGTACAGAATTATTGACTCTATGGCCTTGAAAACATCCATCATGATAACAGGGGCTCTGCCTCATTGTGAAAACAGTCTCTATGTATAGAGCTCTATTGCCATGAAAATGGCCACTGCGAAAACAATCACCGTATGCAGAGTTGCAGATCCACAATGGCAATTTTCATAGCAATAGAGCCAACAACTCTATACACAACAAGTGTATTCACGACAACATAGTCAACGGCTCTATACATGGTTATTGTTTTCACAATGGAAAGAACGTCATTTCTGCCTCTCATCTCTAGTTGGGGTTAATTAATTGTAGATCGTAATAGCCAACTGTTAATGTCATGGAAAGCAGAGAAAAAGAAAAATCTTTTCTTTTGAAACTGGCAGCCACGAGGAAGCAATGCAAACTCTAGTTCTCTCTTGCAAACTGCAAATTGCAATGTCCTATAAATAAGTCAAAGTTTTCTTCTGTGAATTCTTCTTATTAATCATTTTTCAATGGAAATTGGCAAACTGCAATGCGGGAAGCATAAAAAATTTCACTCTTTTTCATATATGATAGTATCGATTATTGATAGAAGAAATCAAATGTGAGAATTAGGAACTTTGTTGTTGTTTGTTTGTGGCATGCTCTGCCGGATAAGTGCTAATCATTGGAAATGAGAGGGATTTTATTTATGGACTTAAACGTGTGGTCCATCCCACCAGGTGGCTCCGCCGTATAATGAAGCCGTATAATTAAAGGAGGGTTAACCTCTGTTGGCCCTTTGTTGGGAGATTGAACATGTTAAATGTATTGAGAGATGGATAGGGACAGGTGGCTTGATTTAAGTGGGTTAGTAGAGAGGAGAGGAGGAAGAGGTGAGTAGGAAATCCAGCTTCCTAACGGGTGTTTCTTAGTTGTCACTAACAAAGGCCTGAGGTAGTTCTAGCATGAGTTCACTTTTGCCTGTTTGTGATGCCAACAGATGAGATAATTCCACAACAAAGGAAAGTCTATATTAGATTAAGAGGGAAACTTAACCATTAATAAGAAACAGAGAGAGTACTCCAACTTTGAGAGAAACATTTTGGCATATACTTTTATTTCTTGTTCATGGTTAAGGGGCTGTTTGATACAGCTGAAATAATGGCTTATTTTTTACTTTTTCTGAATAAGCCATTAAGGAGGTTGTAAAGGCAAATTAGGTTATATCACCCTTTTATCCAATAAAAACACAAAATATATAATAAGCTGCATCAACTATTATCAAACATCTCCTTGACATTCATTTTAAAAGCCTGCAAAAGCTGACTGAACTACAAGGTTTCCACAGCTTATAAGTCTAGCAGGAAGATCGAAGAGCAAGAAACTCGAATGATGAGAGACAATCATCGGCAGGGTGCTTGGATCGATTTAAGCTAATTGTGATGTCAGTTTTGATCCAACGTCTTTGAAGTTTGAAGGAATGAATTTCGTTGTACCAAAAAAAAAGTGTATCATTATAGGATTTTTTTTTTCTCTACCATGAACCGACAATGGAACCATTTCATCCCTGTTGTCCCCAATTGGCCTCCCAAATTGAAAAGAATACAATGAATTATAAATGTCCACGCCCTTGTCATCTTTTGTTGATTTCTTCCTTTTGATTCTAAGAGAGAGATCAAGCCCAGATAGCTAGAGATGACATCAATCCAGCACCAAGGAAGAGGGTCAAGTAGGAGATGACTTGGAGACGTACGTTGCACCTCATCCTCTTGCTAAGGAAATCAGCGGCAATGAGGTCCACCAAGGCCATGTACACCAGGATACCCGCGGAAACCGAATCCAGAATGCCCTCGATGGCCAGCGCCCTCGGGCTGTTGGGGTTGTAGAAGGACGCCACCCCTGTCCCTATGCCGATCCCCACCGGTGTCGTTATCGCGAAGAAACAAGCCATCATCATTGCCGACGCCCATTTAAACCGTGCTTGCGATATGCACCCTCCAAGTGCGAACCCTTCGAAGAATTGATGGAAGGCCAGCGCCGCGATCAAGGGCCTTACGGTGCACGGGCTCTGCGACACTCCCAGTGACAGCCCTATCATCACCGAGTGCGATACAATTCCAAGCTCCAATATCTGCATCCATTCAAATTACAAAGCTTTTAGCCACTGTTTGGATTTTGGAGCAAGGTTTTAAAAATCGACTTAGAAATGGAACCGCTGTGGCCACCGGTTTTTGGGTCAGTGGTTCGACCATCTGGGTCCAACTGTTTGAATTGTTTACATTATTAGAGCAAATGTTGGTACTTAGTCTTTTAGACTTTTAGGTTTTTATGAGAAAAAGAGAAGCTGCAGTTATCGGGAAAAAAAAAAGGAAGGATGGAGGGAGGGAGAAGGGAGGAGGATGGAAGAAAGAAGATGAGGAGGAGGATTCAACCTTCACCGCGATGATGATGGTGACGGCGGCAACAATAGAAATGCAGATCTCATATTTGAGATCTGATTTCTCTCCAGTCTCTAATCCCTGCTATGTTCTTCTTCTCTCTGTTGTATTTAGGATCGCTGTACCCATGAACCGCTGTCTGGGTTGAACAAATTGATGGTTCAACTGCCCGATCAGTGGTAACCGGTTGCCTAGACGATTTCTGGGCCAAACAGTTTGACTGTTCGGGTCAATGACGATTCAAAAAACATTGGTTTGGAACCGATGCCCTTTATTTAAAAAAGGGTGTCACATTAATGAATGACTTACCAAGATAAGTGAAATTATTCGAACAAATGTTTCTTGAGAAATGCTTATCAGAATAAGAACATTTACCACTAAATGTGTATAATGACTGATTTATCAAAAAAGTAACATTATTGAAGGAACAATACAGTATGGCCAAATAATTTATCCAAACTTAAGGAAAGTATCCGAGATCACAATTGCACCCTAGGAGAGCCCCATAGCACATTGCAACTATGCATTTTTTTTGTAAAGCTCACAAATATGTATTGAAAATATCTTGACAAGTACAAGAGATATTCCCAATGCACAGTGAGATGTGCATGTGAGGCACACATGTGAACTCGAAAATATTAGTTCCCTAAACAAATGACACACTTTAAAATCATTCTTTTCTATGGGATCAATTAATACCAATAAAATGAATATGGGTTTATTTCTTTTCCATAGGACCTACTAACTTAGAAAACAAATGAACCCTATAGACACTTTGGGAATTGGAAAAGGTGTGGTTTGAAAAAAATATCATTTTTGGTGTTATTTATTTTTTCACTATTGATAGCACCAAGGTTCAAGTATCGATACGTATTAGCCCATATCGATCGATATGTATCATTCCAGGACCCTTTCGATACGCCCCTATAGTGGATGTATCGGGGGTCTGACCGGTTCATGAGGTGGAGGAGACCTAAACCGCCCCTGAACTGGTTTCAAAAAAAAAAAAAGAACTAAAAAAACAGTATTGATTCGCCCGATATGCCCATACCGGCGTATCGATATTTTGAACCTTGGATAGCACTAGTGATGTAGAGTTGAAAAACACCCATGCAGCAGCAACCATAATGGTCCCAAACAAAACAAAAACAAAAAAAAAAAGAAAAAGAAAAAGAAAAAAAACATTTCCTTAAAGCTAGGGTAAGAAAAGGAAATGATAGAAAAACCTTTGTAAAGACTTCCTTACCTTTTCCTATTTTTTCCTTGAACCAAACACAGCCTAAAAGTAAATAGTATATCAATGCAACACTATTTTCTCAAAAAAAGACACCTCTCAAACGACATTAGTTCCAAACATGGCATTAGTCAACAATCACCAATCAAATTCCATGTTCAAAGCGATAAAATATTGGCTTTCCATGTCCGACAGTCGATGCTACAACAGGGTTCTCCCTATGTGACACGTTAGTTAGTTCATAAATTAAACTGCCACGCAGGCGTGCAGAGAGAGCCCTATTGACAGCCAAAATTTTCTCCGAATGAGCTCCTTCAGGCTATGTTTGGTTTGAAGGAAAAAATAGGGAAAGGAAGAGAAAGATAAGGAAATGTTTATAGGTTTCCTATTTTTCCCTTTCTTTCTCTACCTTTTCCTTCAAATCAAACATAACCTCAAAGTTCAAACACAAACAGAAACAACATACAAGAAAAAAGTGATTAACTCATAACGTGCAAAAAACCAAATGGAATTTACCTGCGAGACGACAACGTGCCGAACACCACTCTCGCTCTCCTCGTCGCTGTCACCGATCCCATGCAAATGTCCGTGTGAGAGCTCAGCCACGTGTCCATCGCAAGCCTGCTGCCCGTGCGGATGGCTGTGCCTATGGTGCGCCGCGTGCGCGTGCATCCCCACAATGTGCATCCCTCCCCCTTCCTCTTCCCCGAACACCTTCCCGTTAAGATCCCTCTCTGCTATCCTTGCAACTGGAACTATTACCGAATTCAAAGCCGTTTCCAACGACCCCTCCCCGTCGACCTCAGCAACAGCTCCTTTGTTCTCCTGTTTCCGCTCGTAGAATTGAGTTCCCACGAAATCCATCACAAGGGTTAAGAGGGAAGCCATCATGGCGATGAATCCGGAGAAGGGAAACTTCGACCATGGCGTCTCAGGCAGGCATGGGTCGGTAAGCGCAGATGCCCCATCCGGGAGCATGTGAACGAAACCAGTTGCTAATATCACGCCTGCAGCGAAGGCCTTAGCGGCAACGAACAGATTCCCGTCCGTGCGTAAAAAACGTCGCTTCTTTCCGAGCAGGGGAATGGCCACGCCAGCTACTCCGGCGATGAGAATTGTAGCAATTGCGATCATCTTTAGAATCAGCGCAGCGGATTCGTCCCGGCAATCCTCGGATTGGGTTGTGTTAGGGCAAGTAGTCGTGGCCATGGATTCTGATACCACCTGCAAGAGATTATCTTTTCTCCACCAGAGAAGCATAAACACAAATTTGAAAACATTAGAAGAATGACGCCAAGAACAAAAATCTTATCTTTTTGACAAAAAAGCGAAATAAAATAAAAGAAGGTTTTCTTCGTATGTAAATATAAATACCTGAGAAATTCTGAACTTTTCCTCTGAGATATTTGAGATAGAATAGCGGCTCGAGTTCCTGCTACAGAATGGAAATTAAATTCAGAAAAGAAAATTAAAGAAAAAATGAAGAGGGAACTGAGAAAACTAAAATTTAATAGTCTGATTACTGTGAATTGTGAACTAAATCTGGAAAACCTAACCTCGGTGAATGACATGGAAGCGGGTGGACTGAGACGGATCTAGAATATAAGGAGGGGAGGAGGAGATGAGGGCGCTGGTGGCATAAGACGGTTATCCGGCGTAAAGTGTGTGAAGATGCAGAGAGAGAGAGAGGGAATAGGGGTTGCGGGGGTTCGAATGGAAAGAAAGAGAGGTGTAGTAAATGACGACATTTTTGAGAAATCTAAGGGTTTGGACTGCCGCTTGCCCGCTTCGAGTTTCAGTTGCGACTTTCTGCGAGCAGATGAGGGCGCGAGTGTCGACACTCCTGCTGTTATTCTTTGCTACCTGGGTTCTCTTTGGTAAGAGCGTAAATGCTGGATCCAAGCGAATTTGCTCCCCGAGTCAGTTTTACAATGTATTTTGTAAGAATACATTTTTGTACCAAAAATGACAGTAAATGTGTTTTTTTAGACATGTTTGCAGTCAAAATAGGGGCAAACTTTGCTTAAAAAAATGGATGTAAATTTTACACTTAAAAAGTTAGTCGGTGTAAAAAAGTTAGATTCTAATTTTTGAATTTGTATTTGTTTCCATTACAATCAAATGTAAATTTATTAATGCAAAACCAATCAAACTTTGCATTTTTATGAACTGTAGGTATTTATATTCACACTAAATATACTCACATTTGCATTTTCATCAAATGCATGAGAGTGCAAATCGGCTGAATATAAACCCAAGTAACTTTTGCTTCATATTTGCCTGTGTCTTATTTGTTTGCGGGAAGTTAAAAAGCGGATGTTATTAATTTGCACTGCTAGTGAATGGAAATGAGACAAGAAGTACAAATACAAATACAGATTAGTACAAATACAAATAGCAGGGTGTAAAATCTTATATTTTGCATTATACTGTATATAATTTATTTGTGTTCTTTCCAAATTTAGCCTATTACTTTGTACATATTTGTATTTATACTCTTTCCCTTATTTAATGTAATTTTATTTCTACCTTCTCAATTTATAATTTTTGTTGGAGTCATTTTTATGCCTACTCGGCGAATTTTTATGATATTACCGCATCACTCAATTATTTGAATCGTATGAAAAATCTAGGGGATGTTTGGAACCGTGGCCGTTTTTTAAAAAATGGTGTCACATCGGATCTATATAAGCGTTTTAACAAACGCCCATGTATCTCATTATTTGGTTCAGCCGATTATTAAAAAATCGGGTATGCCTCGAAAATCAGGACCCCACCGATGCATGAAACATCAAATTTAGCATTTCATGCATAGGTGAACCGTTTCCCCCAATGGTTGACTGATGTGTATCTTATGTGGTGCTTACCTGTCAGCACATATATGAAAAACGGTGATGAAAATCACCTTATCAAACAGCATAGTGTTGCTCACTGTTTACATGGCATAATTGTTTTTTTTTTTTTTGTGAAAAACAGGTCTTGCAAGTATAGGCATTTTTTTTTTAAAATCGGTCCCAAAAAGTATCCATGCTTCCAAACACCATGCTAATTTCATGGTAAGATTGATCCCTCAAAACCAATTGAAGAATCGATTTTTCTTAGGGGATGCAAGTTGGGCGGACTAGGCCAGAAGGTAAAATGGTAAATCCAACCCCGAATTCCAGACCTGGGCTTTGGGTTGGTCAATCGGGCTTAGGTGGGCCTATTAGGTCAAGCAAGTGAGATCCAACGCCAACACCAGATCACTAATCCATATGATAATCAAATATGGGTGGACGGATCTTTTGAGTTTTTGACTCACAATCAAGCTGAGCTGCTATAAGAATAATGTTCATGAACTCTAACATTTCAATCTTTTATGCAGCTGGAGCCTAGAGTTCAATGTAGGGTGTCTGACATAATGGATTAAGAGTGGCGGGCAGTTCTAACAGCTTTGGAGTTGGTGAATAGTGATGGATAAAAATATGAAAGAAGTTATGCTATTTTCTGATGCAGCACCGGTTGTGATGATGCGCGATTTGTATTCTCCTAGTTGGAAGGCAATTTGAACGTCAGACTAATACTTGGCTAGTCTTTTGATGCTTAAGTTAAAGAAGAGTATTATAGCGAACTGGTTTGTTTATAAGTATGAAAGTATGAGAGCTAAATTGCGTGTACCTCATGAGGTTGGAGTTGATGCCCTTATATAGGCGAATTATCGTAAGCCTCATGAAACATATTTGAGACCCCTGACCCACGTAATCAAGAGTCCGTCTGATCTAGGTGAGATAAGGATAAGGCTTACTGACGTGTGGTGTGATTTTGGAGAGATCGGAGATGACTGGCTAACTTCTAGAAGAGGGCTACGTGGCACCTAGCAAGTCGGGACACTACAAGCTGTTCGGGCCTCGGTCTTAGTCGATGTGTTTGAAGTGCTCAAACTAACCTAGCCTGCTGAGGTATTCAGAAATACTGAATTGTCATCAAATCATCAGATCGTTCTATGTATCCGCGTATTGACGAGTAGGGCCAAATTATTCCTCATCGTGTTGCATAAAATGATATCTAGAGTTCACTCAGTAGAATAATATATTGTGGTTTATGCAAATAGACCAAAAGACATATAGCTCATAATCTAGCTTACGGGGCTTGCAAAAATGTTAGATATATTTTTTGATTTGCCATTTGAAGGTGTTCCTCTGAACACTTTTTTTTTTTTTGAATTTAATGAATTAGTGAAGATTTTTCCTTTTTCCGAAAAAAAGTCAAATATATTGTACAAACCTCTTTTTTTATTTTGAGGGAGGGGGGGGGGTGATTGAAGTTGTATGAACCTATAGGGCTAGGCCTGGGCCCAGTCCAAAACATAAGAGCCTGGGAACTTAAAACCTAAGCCAGTCCATGCAAAATTGCAAGTTGGATCAATTCAGGTTTGGGTTGGGCCGTTCAAGTTGCATCGGGTGTGTGGTTGGAGGAATTCATTCATCAAAATCATTTTCTTAAGAATCAATGATATGGTGATCTTTTTAGGTTTGTATAGGTTTGAGAAACATATTTGGTAAGAGTGTTGATATGGTGATCTTTATAGGTTTGTATAGGTTTTTCTACTTATCTCTGTATTTTCTTTCAAACCAAACAGTCTTAGGAAAGAAATATACAGTTTTAGGTTTCCATCCAATGATCTTTATCTTTCTAGAAATGGTGGAATTGGGTACCTAACTTGAAGAAAGTACACAGATTGGGCCGGGCTCATTCAATCATCATTAATCTCACTCTTTAATCCCACCTTCTTCTTTACTCACCATTCTATCAAACACCTTTTTCTTTTATATTTTATGTACCACACCACCATCCGCATCACTTCCATTAATCCCTTCCCTCTATCAAAAAGAAAGACAAATAAAAAAGGCCTGTGATGAACACTATGAGATTTGTTAGATCTTTTTTTCGGATGGCCTGGAATAGTTGAAATCAACGTTTTAAAAAATGACCCAAAAATAGAATCATTCTTGCTACTGATTTTTGAATTAATGGTTTAACTGTCTGGTTTGAATGGATGGCTCGTTTCTGACAATAAAATAAAAAAATAATTAAAAAAATAAAAAACAGTAAAAAACCGTTGAACGGGTTGATGGTTCGATCACCCGGGTCAATGATTTATTGACTTTTTTAACGATTTTTTATCAGATTCCAGGTTTTGAATAAAACAGAACTGGTTGCTTGAACGGTTCCCAAGCTGAACAATCTAACTGTTTGGGGGTCAACGGCGGTTCGAAAATGTTGGTTGAAATATTTATATATCACTTGCATGGTTAAGGTCAATTTAGTTATCTTAGAAGACCATTTTGATGCGCTAGATCTTTGGATTGATTGATTCGGTACATTGTTTCAATGCCCTAGATTTTTGTTTTTTTAGAGATTCACTGCACCATTGACTCAAAAACTAGGGCTGCAACTTGTAGACAATTCCCCACCTGCTGTAATTAACACCATCAGCAGGTGGGGAAAGCCCTAAAAGGAATTGTATGAAAGTTCTTAAGAACCTTCCCCTTTCTGCTTTTGTCTTACTGTCTATCAAAACTTATTTACTCACAAGCAAATAAAAAATGTAATTAAACAGGAATCATCAGAACAAGACATGATAAATAAATAATATAAAATGATCAGTAGTCAAAATAAGAGAAACAACACATGATAGTTATTATTGACAGTTATTGGTAATTGAAGACATGAATAGTGGAAAAATTAGAAAGAACATGATGAAAAATAAAGTCATTTTAAAGAACGTAAGAATAGCTCCAATACATAATAAAATGACTCTGTATCTCCTGCCTACACCTACCCACATTATATCATCCTTCATGAACTGGGAACATTTTCCCCTGCATAATACTATGCAGAGGATGAGATGTTCTCTATCTGTGGCTAAGATAAACGTGGGCAAGGTTCTTGTGGGCAAGAGATTGGGGCTTTAATAAAATGAGAAAAAATAGCACATGTAAGAAGTGATTTATTGCATGTTGTAAGTGATAGAAGACCAAAAAGATATGGATCCAAGAATTAAAAAAATGATTTAAAAGCTCATCGTAGAGGACAAACAGAAAAGAGAAATAAGATTCATGTGACCAACCCTATATAGTTGAGATATAATAATGATGAATTCAGTTATTGGTAATTGAAGAAATACAATTCATGTAATTGTCGCTGATTAAATTTCTGCTTCTCAAGTGAAAGGAGTGTGTGATTGTAGGGGTGTAAATGGATTGAATTCTAATCGGATAATATCCGGATTCGATTAATTCGATATCTAATGGATATTAAAAATTAATATCCAAATTCGAATCCGATTAAATATTCGAATATTCGATTCAATTTGAATTCAATTAATTAATTATTTTAGATAATTAATAAATTTATAAAATAAATATTTTATTGATATAAAATATATAAAATATTATATATATATATAAATTAAATAATCGATCGAATTCAATTTTTATCAAATTAAATCAGATAATATCTAAATTTGACCAATTAAATATTTGAATTATCCCAATTCAATTCGATTTTATCAAATATCGAATTCGCAATCGAATTTTCGAATACCATGATTCATGATTCTAGCTAGGCAAATTAAGTTATCAAGGACAGATGGTCTGGCAAGGGTACGTGGTCGTGCCCTGCAAATTATGTGTCAATCACCCCTTTCATTCCTGTAGGTGCTTTAATTCATTACTCTATCATCAACCAAAGTTGCACACGCAACCTAGCTCTATGCTGGTGGCTTCCCTAGCTCGTAATATAATCAAGGGATTCAAGGCATTGCATATTGAGTCAGAATAATTTCTATTCGATTCCACCAATCACATTTTAAAGAATGTTCTGTTTTATATCTAATCAATTACAAAAATCATATGTCAGATGATGGGTTTTCATCA